TCCCTTTGTACCAGCTGATGGTGCCTGTGTATCAGCTGATGGTCCCTGTGTACCAACTGATGGTCCCTCTGTTCCAGCTGATGGTCCCTTTGTACTAGCTGATGGTCCCCGTGTACCAGCTGATTTTCCCTGTGTACCCTCTGATGGTCCCATTGTACTAGCTGATGGTCCCTTTGTACCAGCTGATGGTCCCTTTGTACCTGCTGATGGTCCCTGTGTACCCTCTGATGGTCCCTTTGTACCAACTGATGGTCCCTGTGTACCAGCTGACGATCCCAATGTACTAGCTGATGAACCAGGTGTAACAGGTGATGGTCCCTGTGTAAGCTCTGATGATCCCTGTGTACCCTCTGATGTTATAAGTGTATTAGCTGATGGTCCACGTGTACTCTCTGATGGTTCCTGTGTAACAGCGGATGGTCCAGTTGGACTATCTGATGGTCCTTGTGTGCTCTCTGATGGTCCCTGTGTACCAGCTGAATGTCCACGTGTACTAGCTGATGATCCAGGTGTACTAGGTGATGGTCCCTGTGTGCTCTCGGAAGGTCCCTGTGTACCAGCTGTTGGTAAACGTGTACCAGCTGAGTGTCCTGGTGAACTAGCTGATGATCCAGGTGTAACAGGTGATGGTCCCTGTGTACCCTCTGATGGTGCCTGTGTACCAGCTGATGGTAAACGAGTACCAGCTGATGGCCCATTTGTTTCTGTTAAAATGAAGAATAATGTAATATCATAATCATTTGCTATATTCAGAAGAATATATGACTGTAAATCTTTAAAATATATTTTTTAAAGTATTTTTTCACACTTCTCCACTTGCAGTTTTTTCCCTCTAGTTTGTTCCTACAAATTGGCTAATAACCAAATAACCTAACTCTGTTAAATAGAGACATGTTTCTACATGTGCCCCCTACCCGAATTCACCAGATTTAAATTAACTGGAGTGAAACCTTGGAATATGGATGTCTACGCTTGGCAATATAATCATCAGATTATTATAATGATAGGGAAGCAGTATCTATTATACATAGCTCTCCCTTGTCATTTGAAGTATCCTGTTATTGGGATTCCTATCTCCTTTCTGTTTTTGTTTTATTCCATTCTATACAACATTGATAGATATTACAATAGGGAAGGGTCCCAATATATTCCATTTTTCCATGAGCAAACTCCTTACCTGCTTGGCTTCTTGTGGCTGTGGTCAGTGTAAGTGATGGTCCATTTATGCCCTCACTCCCAGGGCTGGTTGTGGTAGGACCAGCAGAGACTCCTGAGGTCCCTGAAATCCATGAAATCATGAATAAGGTAATCTATGTCTGTTCTGATGAAAAGCCATACAAGTTCCTTTTGAAAATGGAAGTCAAATAATTTATCCTTATCCCTCTGTTAGGAAATATGTTAGTTATAGCTTAACCTTCTGATTAAATCTGAAACTGTGACAAGAGAACGTGTTTGGAAACTCTTAAATGTCACATATGGACTTGCCTGATTGTGAAGAATTTGTAGTTCCAGTCTCAGTTTTCCCAGAGGTGCTGCTACTTTCGGATTCATGCGGTGTCCGAGTTTTGCCTGAATGATTTTAATGAGAGAAAAAGAGAAATAAATACTCTGTTGATGGATCCCAGGATGCTGACCTGCAATTCACTCTAAAATTTATAAATAATATGTTGGCAATGCATGGGCACCATGTCTATGTTATATATTAAGCATCTTGACTTGCCTTCAGATGATGTAACTTCACTGCCTGGTGAAGGAGTCCCTGCCCCAGTCGTTGGTCCTACTGATGATCCCACTGAACCAGGCAAAGAAAAGAACAGAAATAATATTGAGATGGTGTATATGTTGATTTTACTGTTGATCATGCTCCTTTCCAGTTAGGCTACGTCTCACACCTACTCGCTCTTCTTATCCCCACTACCATCAAACTGTATTAAGTATTCAACCTTTATCCTGCAATGTTTCCTCATTATATTTCATCTGTATGCATTCATCAAATTAATATTTCTAAACAAAATTTCAAATTCACCACTCCTCAAATATATAACCTTTTTTCAATTGCTTCAAACCAAACACCTCCTGCAGTCAAGTCAATTCTGACTCATAGGGACCATATATGATGGACTAGAACTGCCCATAGGGTATCCAAGGCTATAATCTTTAAGGAAGCAGACTGCCACAGCTTTCTTCCATGGAGCAACTGGTGGGCGAGAATAATAAATATCCAGGTATTTTCTGAATTCTAGTCTTCATTTGCATTGAACTTACCTGGAATTCTATTGTTCATGTTATTGAGATTGTCACTGTACAATTTTATTGTTGTTGTTAAGTGCCTTTCACTCAGTCAGTTTTGACTTATAGTGACCCTGTATAGGGTTTCCAAGGAGCAGCTCATGGGTTTGAACTGCCAACCTTGTGACTGGAAGTCCAGACTGATACTAAAGCGCCACACCAGCAGTCCTTAAAATTTTATAGTGTTTCACAATTAAGAAAAAGAATCTCTCATATAATCTCTTACTGACCTTCACTCTTCCATGGAGTGGTTTGTGGCTTGAACCTCCTGGTATGCATCTCAACATTTAACCTACAGCACCACCCTCTTTGTACATAATTGTTGTTTCTTGTTGTTAAATGCTGTCGAGTTGGTTCTGACTCATAACAACCCTGTATAGAGTTTCCGAGGAGCTGCTGGTGAGCTTGAACTGCTGATCCAGTGGTTCAAACCAACCTTGTAGTCCAGTTCATTAACCCACAGTGCCACACTAGCACATAATAGATGTTTGAAAAGTATTTACCAATAGAATGAATGAGTGGAATCAAAGAGTTATGTGAATTTGTGTATCAAAAATTGGGTTAAAAATTTAATCAATTTTATTAATTCACTTGCTGGTTAGTAATCAACCTGAGGCTACAATCTAAGTTGTCTAGTACCAAGTCATGTGACCAAAAAGCTCTTTACGTATTGTTTCATCTATACAATATAGCATATCTCTTGCGGTTTCTTTTTTCTTCTTCTTTTCTTTCTTTTTTTTTTTAAATGAGCTCATTGCCATTAAGTTGATTCTGACTCATCATGGCCCCTACAGGAAATAGTAGAACTACTCTATTTGATTTCCAAGGCTGTAAATCTTGACAGAAATAGAATAACATGTTTTTCTCCTGTGGAACAGCTTGTGATACAACCTTTTGGTTAGCAGTTCAGTACTTAATTTGTGTGTGTGTGTGTGTGGAAATATTAGAAATTAGAATGCAGTATCCAAGTAACTAATAAAATATGCTGTTTCCCCAGATTGTTTTACAAAATGGATACATTATATGCACACTAAATCGATTTTTTGAAGTTGATGTGAAATATTTCAAAATCAGTGTTATTGTTTGGAAATTCTCTAGTTAGTATAAAACTTTAATTGAGAGTGTTATCAAAATCAGTATCAACCCAACCCAGATCTTGCTATTTATTCTCATTGACAAATTCAAGACCTGGGCATTTTAACTAAAATGTCTTGCTGATAGAAGTGCCAGTGTAGTACAGAAAGACACTATGCCATAAACCACAGACATCTTCAAGCTGATAATTATGTTTTATATTGAGGAGATTGCAATCAGATAAAATGAAGTGTGTATGATTTGTTGAATGTAAAACTGATGATCCGCTCTTTAAACCTTCACCCAGTTCAAGTTAAAAAAAACAAAACAAAACAAAAAAAAACACAAAAGATTATAATGATGTTGCAGGATAAACCTTCCACTTCAAAAGGTTTTCAGTTTTTTTATTCCAATGTAGATGTAACCTTTAAGAAATTCCAATCATCCCAATCTGAGTATTTTAAAATTGAAGACAATTACATTTAATTAGAAGGCAGTATTATAAGAAGTAGAACACAATGCTAACCACAGTTTCGCATCTGAATATGCTCTGATCAGCTTATTCAGAGAGAAGCACAATCACACCCCATATATGTTAGTGCACATGTTGCCATTTTTAACATATGTACAAGGCATACATTCATGAACCTTTCCTTGTAATTGGCATGGCTAATTGGGAGTCCTGGTGTGGTGCTGTGGGATAAAGCACTGGACCGAAAGGTCGGTTTGAACCACAAAGTCAGTAGTTTAAACTCACCAGACACTCCTTGGAAACCCTATACAGGGTTGCTATGAGTCGGAACTGACTCGACGGCACTTAACAACAACAATAGGGCAACGGGCTCCAAAGAAGATCTGAAGGACCCATCTTTTATCAGGGTCATTAGCAATATCTGAACTAGTCACAGATTGGAGTACATACCAGTCAGGCTACTATGATATAGCTCCCTTTTTCCACGAGTGAACTTCGGAAGATGTAAGTCTGAAATTGTTGATACAGCAATAAAAGTAGGGATAAGCCTTTACTAGCAGTAATATATGAGAATCGACTTTTGTTCATGGTTTAATTCCCAAAACTCATAGATTTTTTTAAAGCATCACTGTTCTCATTAAGAGCATACACAGCCATTATGATTTCAGTGAATTTTTCCATTAATTGCAAATGAACGTACATGTAGAAGTACATGACTATATGAATTACCCTATAGCAGCTTCCTTGGTATCACAAAATACTAGGAGGTTTCAAAAAGTTTGTGGAAAAATAGAATTAAAAGATAATGTAATTTTCCCATGAACTTTTTGAAGCTCCCCTCTAAATGTTAAAAAGAGCTACCTTTCTAATATATAGCTAGTTCTGCATACCTCCACCCTCACACATTTTCAAAGTGAACTTGGTTCAATTGTTTTTTACCTCATCATAATTTTAATATTTAAAATAAGACTTTGGAATTAATTTTCTAGTTGCCATTATATTTTTATGCATCATATTGTTGTTAAGTATGGTTGAGTTAGTTCCAAGTCATAGCGACCCTATATAGGGTTTCCAAGGAGCATCTGGTGGGTTTGAACCACCAACCTTTGATTAGCAGTTCAGGGCTTATCCTACAGCATCACACCAGGAATTAATACTTTATAGTTAAAGACTGCTTTAATTAATAAGAAAAACTATTTTACATTTCCCTTTAGAGCCATAATTTTTCCTAATATAAAAGTCTAGAAGGAAATAAAATTTAAGGAATATTCATAACTTTACCCCTTATAAATATCAAACTTGGTAATATAAAATTGATCACTTCTATAAAATATTATAGAATAAAATGTAAACTTTTTAAATTGTTAAAATGACTTTAATCCAGGAAACAGTATGTTTGTGATTAATTACTGAAAAAAATACTAAACTCCTTTTTTAATTTTGAGTCCACTTAAATAGTGAATTATTCTTCATAAAACTATCATTGATAATAAAGTTTATTTTTTTCAGTTCTTACTATATATTGTTAAACTACACCAATTTATTGACTACTTTTTCAAATTCTATAAAGTAGATATATTAACTTTCCTGTTTAACAGATAAGGAAACAAATTCTAAGGGTTTCTGAGAGACTTAAACAAACATCATTCAGCTAATAAATAAAAGAGAAAGGTTTCAAATTTTTATTATACTGATGCCAACAGCCCACAAGACTCAGCTGTGTCACTATAATAATCAGATACAATTCATTTCTGTCTGCCCAATGCTAATTTAGAACAGAATATAACAAATAAAAATAATATAAACCTAATGGTATCCTGTGTGACACTTTAAGATAAGCACTGGACTGCTAACCACAACATCGGGGGTTCAAACCCACCAGTTGCTCCTCAAAAACCCTATAAGGGTCTCTATGAGTCATAATGGACGTAACTGCACGTAACAACAACATAGCTGTAACAGAATCCTGTAGCTCTGTAAAATAAGCACTGGATTGCTAACCATAAGGTCAGAAGTTCAAACCCACCAGCTGCTCCTTGGAAACCCTATATGGGGGTCACTAAGAATTATAACTAACTTGATGACACTTAACACAACAACATAGCCTAACATTCTGAGAGTTTTGTTTTTTAGAAAAGGAAATTTTCATTTAATATATCATATTGTTGTATAGGGAACACTGGACTACAAATCACAAAGTTGGCAGTTTGAGCCTACCAGCCACTCCATGAGAGAAAGATGAGGCTTTCTGCTCTTGCAAAGATTTACAGCCTCGGAAACCCTATGCAGCGTCACTATGAGTCAGAACTCACTTAATTGCACTTAACAATAACAACAACATTTTTTGTATAATAGAAACCCAATTTTTAATGATCTGAATTAGGATCACCTACATTTGATGAGCCCTGGGTGCTTCTGTGGAATAAAGCACTGGACTGTAAGGTCAGTTTGAACTCCAAAGTTAGAAGTTCAAGCACACCAGCCGCTCTTTGGCAACCCTATGCAGGGTCACTATGAGTCAGAATCAACTCCATGGCACTTAACAACAACAGTTGACTAATTTTTCAGTTTTAATAGAAACTTAGTAATCTAATTACAGTTAGACCTTGCTTTATTGTGCTTTTCAGATATTGTGCTTTTTACAAGTTGAAGGTTTGTGGTAACCCTATGGTGAGCAAGTCTATTGGTGCATTTTTCCAACAGCATGTTGTCACAAGATTTCAAACTTTTTCAT